CGAAAAGCTAAAATTAACAACTTCACTATGAATCGAGCAACTCTTCGGCTGCATGTCGACGGTGTGGGTGCGCTTTGAAAACGCGGACAGGGAAAAGACAGGTGTACGCAGTCCATTTCTAGTCTGCGTCTTGAAAGCGCATCCACATCGTCGGCACGCAGAACCAATTTGCTCAATTAAGTTCACTGACAAACGTCTCCTGCAATTTATGAATTTTCTGTTTCTATAGGCGCGACTCCTCGCAGAGCAGGCCGCAAGGAGCCGGGGACCGCGCTCATCGGAAAGCCACGACTATATTTTGCAAGGCGCCCATCGGCCACGCGAGCCGAGCGCTACGTCAAGCCCCTTCATGTAGCCTTTAGACGTTGATGCAAACACATCTCAAGAAATGCGCGAGAAATAATAGAGCAGCAAACTCAAACACACCGCGAAAACAGCACTGGGACCTTGAAAAAGCGATGCCGGAAGTGCCGCACCGGAAGTCTGCTGGGGTAGGCCGTTCGGCGCGAGCCAGTTTGTTTACAAACACCGAAATGATCTATACAAGCACCACCATCCAGCAGACAATCTGAGGACTAAACGAGAGTATGTACCACATTTCTGCTGTCAGTGCTTCGTTAACACCGAGAACGCGTTAACGATGCCGTGCTACGTTTTTCGTAACATGTGGACATGCGGATATGCGCCCGAGGGTGGATATGTGCCACTGGTATGCGGGTATGTGCCACAGGATACGTACTACTACAACAGGACACACAAGCCACGCCCTAAGAAGGTTCGCCCCTGAAAAAATCAAAAGAAAATTGCGTACGATATGGAATCATAGCGACCGTAAGCAACCTGCAAACACCCACATTCACGGTACACCATTTCACGGCATCGCACTGACTGAACACTCCTACGTTTGCAAGTACTGTGATGTCCCGTACACTCTGTGTCGTTAGGCAGAGAGATGTATACAAAACTCCAGTGCCACCATACCATTTGAAGAGCACTGAGAAGCCAAGCTATCACACTCCCCGAAGAATATGTGAAGCCGGGTTCAACGAACCCGAGAGATGGCGAATGCATACGGCTACACTTATAAAAAAGCAGTGCTACTTACTAACTTTGAGGTAGTAAGTTGTTGTCACAACATTCACTACATAAGTAGTAACTGTAGGTAGTAGACCACAGGCATTTATTACCTCTGGTTGCTTCTAAGGTAGTAAACGTCTGTGGTATACTACCTGCAGTTACTACTTAGGTAGTGAATGTTGTGACAACAATTTACTACCTCAAAGTTAGTAAGTAGCTTGCCTTTTTTAAGAGTGTACCTAGAATAGTGTGATTACCCACCTTGAATGCACACTATGCTAGTAATGAAATCTTTATTTTCTCCCTATCTCGCTATCAATTACTTCGCATATAGTATGCTGTGCCCTTTTACGATTGCTTCTAGTGGACTTGCTCGATTTCTGGAGCAAGCTGCTGATACAGAAATTCAGCAGATCCCACATACCTTGCGAGCCGATCTTATGCGAAACATGTGGAGGGAAGGGGACTGTGTCGCATTTTTTATAAATCAAACTATTACGAAATGACGCTAAAGATACATAGACAAACGTTGTCCATACGTTTACCAGCTCTCGTTGATCTTGCGGGCAATATCTTCAGTAATACTCTGCAATATAAATATTGCTGGATGTGAAGCTCCACGTTTGTATGGGCGGAATGCTGCTTACTCTGTTCAGCTTACCAGAAAAATTGTTCTTTTTGTTAGATTTTCCAAATTTTCGCTATCGCTGGCAGCAGAGAACGTCAGTTGACCTGCGAACAGATGACTTGCCCAACTGACAATGCTGTGAAGGTGATTACACGTCCAAGTTTGGATCTTTCTGTGCACATAGCAAACGACTCTTATGACTCTATTCTCGGAAATAGCTTGTCTTTCAATAATTGCTTTCCGTAATTGATATAAAAAATGGCCGAAAGGCACACGCGACGCCAGTGACTTGTGCGTGAGTAGTAAGTTGTAGGCTTCTCAGTATGAAAAATGTCAGCAGCAAATGAGTTTCGTTCGACTGGGTAATAAATAATGAAAAATACGTGTGAGTCATTCACTTGAATTTAACGTTCCTTCCAAACCACTAAAGTGGTTAACAAGTACCATGAATTCCAGAGGTGTGGTGCTCTACTGTCTTGGCACAAAAGTGAGGGCGGCGGGAAGAACAAAGACAATGGTGAAAACTAAATATTGTAAGTTACCAGATCAGTTGAACGACGGTATAAACAGCAATATTAGTTGTGTCCACATAGCGACTTTCCGCCGTTTCAGATCGAATCGTGTTCATAGACATTGGACCTCAAAGGAATCGTAAAAAAGAGCGATACACTTTCTTGAAGCGAAGTTTGTCATGCTTCAGCAATTGTCCAATTATCAAGACCATTAAGCAGTTGTACTCACACGGATCTACATCTGATGAAAACTGAGCCGGCGCTTTTGGCACACCCGCATTCAAAACAGACCAACGTTTTCGACTTTCTCGAAATAAACATTGCGTACAGTGGCCTAACTTGTTGGAAAATTTCTAACCGGAGAATTATCACGTAAAGCGGGTGCCGTCACCAGTGAATAATATATTTTGACTGCAAAGTAGCACTACAAATATTAGGGAAACTTTTTCATATTGACGATATCATCATATATCAAGCCCTAAAAATGAACATCGCTTCTTCAGTAGGTTCAGATTTGTCTTCAGTTGCTACAGGGGCATGTTGAACTGATAGTAAATCAGTCACTGCAGCGCACATGAAAAGTATTTGAGCATAAAAGTACCCTTAAATACTAAAAATCTAGTAATGTCCATTATTTGCCACTTGTGAAAGGAAGCATGGTTCGTTGATCGCACAAGGTCTTCAGTCCTGAACGAAGCACTCCATTTTCTGTGGTTTACGTTGGGTCTAAACATCAATCGAACGTTTGTAACCCTTCTGCATTGTCTACTATTAAATGTGGCACATATGCTTCCCTTATTCTGCCCTGTTAAAAAAAAACGTCCCCGCAATGCGACCACTGTGATAATTTTGTGCCATCAGTGCAGCTTTCTCTCTTAAAATGTCAGTGATATGAAGAACAGCGCCTTCAAGTGACTCATCGGTACATCATCGTCAGAAGCGACCAGCCAAATTAGAAAAGTGTTTTCGTCACTGCCACACCCTAACAATGAAAGAAAATGTAAAGTCAATGGTGTTCGATATTTAAAAAAAAAGACAAGCTTATTGAGCTGTGCGTAGTTGTGATTATGGCTTTATTTCTTGGTGTTGTTAGATTAATAAAGATATTCCAAAGTTATGCAATATGTCAGTGCATGAAAGACTAGAGTAATGCATCGATGTTCGGGGGGTGATGGTGGAGTTCAGTGGAAAATTCGAATGCGTAAGCGGGACATTGTTCCCGTTGTGAAGAAATACCCTTGCAGCGTCGACTCTTGACAGGGGTATGATCAGTCCGGGTGTTCCGTCGTGGGCACATCGGGCAGCGTTGTCTGTGAGGTAGCTACCACTTATCTCACAGTGATCTGGCTGCCATTCAGAGACTATGTGTAACCTAGGTCAGCGGCGAGTTGACCAATTTCATTGATTTGAGACAGCAATTAATGGTAGTTTCCACGTCAAAGACTTCACAAACATTGGAAGGCCACATTGGAGTCGCACAATCTGGCCCTCTTACCAGGAAATTTTTGCATAACGAATTTCACTGCAGCTGGAAGGGTGGACAGCTTGGGGCCCGTAGACGTCGTGTCGTGCGAGGTCTTGAACTTGGTGGTGGCTGATCAAGATGAAACCACAAGGGCACCCGTCAAACTTTCCCGAGATCAAACTATCCGTGTAAATGTTTGTTTATCATGCGATATATGCAAAATGTACATTAAGATCTGCTTGAGGCTTGCAGTTGACATGCTACCTTTTTTTGTACATCTTTCACACTTCAAGGTGCACAAGGGGGGTTTTTCAGGTACGACTCCCAGCATATATGGTTGTGGGTGAGCAGCTCCAAGAGATGGAAAGCTGGTTAGCCGCGAGTATTCTGAAAAACTCTGACTTTGGTATTTATGACGGCAGGCTAGCCAGGTGACGATCAGGCAATTTGCATATACGATCAATAGGCGTCTGGATCACTAGATGAACCTTTCCGAAGAAGGGGCTTAAATTTATCCCTTGCGCTTGTTCTTTCCTTTGGTGCAACTGAAATGTTTTTCGTCCGCAAGAACGTTTGCGAAACCGTGTGCAAAATTTTACGAGAGACAAAACGAATGGAAAGTTAAGTTTATGTACAGTTTCACGGTTTCACCCGATCAGCTTTTTATCTAAATTGTTTGTTTTTTATTCATTTATTTTTTGAAAAGTTTGATGGCGCCAGCACATCTCTTTTCAAGCCATTCAGTCCAAAACACATTATAATTGTAAAAAAAATATTGTTTGTACAATAAGGTACTACCCATTTTGTGGCCGATCACCTGTGATGGCTTGCTCCAGATCACTAAGGACCTACCAAGCTCCCACCGACCAACCAATGATCAGCATGGGTTGGAATACACCTACTGCTCGCACTCGTACTACGCCCTGTCTACAGCTGCTACGACCGTCACTATTGTATAGTCCTCAATAAACACCGGTAACAATGCCATTTCGTTGAGGTAAAAGGGACGTTTGCGTTATACCACACACGCCAGAGAGGGAGCTTCTTAAAACCTCGAAAAACCGGATATGTAAAAAAAAAAACAGCCCTACCCTCTTGCTTGTACAACTCGAGCATCGAGGCAAAACACATCTCTTTTTTTGCTAAGAAAACTTTCATCACAAGCAGAATATTGAAATACTTTATATCCCCGAACAGTTCCCTTTCCTGTGATTGAAAACTTCGAAATCGAAAAATGAAATTTAGGGAAGGAGAGACACTCTTTAAAGGTAAGAATGTGAGTTCCCACTGGGGCGGACCACAAATAAATGAGACAAGCTTAACTGTTGTGTTCTATAGAAAGGACAAACCGAGTTTTTATTCAGCGATTTGCTTTTCAAGCCTCATTCTCCTTGCAATTGTCGAAGACCGTGGCATTCTGCCCGAGTTTAATCGCACACTCATTCTTCTTGTCTTCAGGCAAATTGGGTTTGGCAAAGGCAATCTGGTAGGTTTCTCTACCTGGACCTGCGAGTACTGTGAGTTTTGTATGCATATAAGAGTAAGGTTCGCAGGCTTCGTCCCACACGTGCACACACACATGCACACTGACTCACTCACTGACTCACTCACTCACTCACTCACTCACTCACTCACTCACTCACTCACTCACTCACTCATTTCCTATTATGGCATGCGTGGGAGAACAGGGGACAGGACAAAATGCACCCCATACATTGACTTAGGAGAGAGAAGGCGCTGCGGTTAATCATGGCTCAATGGATGAGGAACTCTTCGCACGCCTATAACACACACTCACTCACTCACCTACTCACTCACTGACTCACTCACTCATGCTTCTTATAATCGCTGCAAATTGATCAAAATTTAGTTTTGCAACTAGCCCAACTAACCGCATTCGATAAATGTTTGATTCCACGTGGTGAAAAAAAAAAGCACTCATTCCTCTACTGACTCGTTAGCACTTCGCTTCAGCATGACAGAACACTTCAGGAAAGATGAACCATCCGCTGTGAAATAAATACGAAGGAATAGTTCGTGGTTGTCGTACTCTAAGCAAGCGTTGGGTATATTGCAGTTGGAATTGTGTTTTTAACAAAAAATAAGGAGCACTTACATGGATTGGATATGCCTTCCAAGATGAAGCAGTCTCCAGTGTTTTCAATGAGCCTGTATTGTAGTGTCATTGGCCATGGGTCTTTAATACCTGGAAACAGTAGAGACAGGGAGTTTGAATTGAGATGTATTTATTTCTTATACTGCAAGACGAGCAAGAGCTGAAGGCCATATGGCCTGACAGAGGCTTTTACTCCTACAGAAATTCCGCATGCTTGTGAACGGTTTTGATGCGAGTACGACAATGAAGCATATAAACATTTGAAATAAACTTGTATGTAGTTAATTATAACTGCAAATAAAGCAATAGCATTTGACATCATACGAACACATCATAAAAAGAAATGTATACAAACCCGTCACGTAAACAAACACATTTGTTTATTTATTTACTTTATTACTGCAGCCGTGTAAAATGAATATTGCAGGAAGGGGACTATACACTGCAGAAAAAAAACATTCATAGTAATAAACGAATTATTCTTTTATTACATAATGACTTTCAACAGGTAAGAAATTTCCCACAATAATATTGTTCGGGGAAAGAAACTGTACTTCAATGTATCTTTGCGTGCAAGAAAGGTAGCGAGACTGAGCTCGTGAAAGTTACAAACATTGTACGAATAATTTCTCAAAAGGAACACAGCGAGCAAACGCTTCAAGAATATGTACAGTCACGCTGAAGTTGAATGGCAACGCTCTGTCTGTATTCAAAATGGTGTCAAGACTGTAAAGTGGCATCTACATATAAAAAAAGAATTAGTGAAATGAACTATCTCGATTAGCGGTACTTTAGAAGCCACTTTAACGTTCAGCAGTATCATTGTCTGTGCTTAGCGTCATTTTAACCACAATCAGCGTTCTCCAAGTCATATTCAGCACGAGTGTACCTATATGCATTAATTTTGGAAGTTTGAGATTATAGCCCAAGAGGAGGAAAAATGAAAAAAAGAGCACGCATAAATAATGTAATTAAAAGTTACTAATAAGCTCTCGTAGAGTGGAACAGAAAGCTTTTCTACAAATAATTTGAGGCGGGGTGGCTTAAAAGTCTACGAGACTCTAAACAATGTTTATTAGTCAGGTATGTTTGATATTTCAGATCCTCACTCTGTTAATTTGTCCATGTGATTAGTAACATTCTTCTTTGGTTGCGTAAGTGATGTTGAAGAGATGAAATCATTAGGCTACTAATATTGCGGAAAAAAAAGAATGTTGAAACAAAAGAAATAAAAGGATCAGATATAAATAGTTGCCAGTGAGTGACTATACGCGTGCATCGCTCACTGGACTGCAAACCAGCAATACGCAGAAGCGGTCACTTCAGGGGTCAGTGGGTGAATCTTTGTGACTTCAATGAGCAACGCAAAGTGCGGAACAGCAAGAAACGTGCACAAGACTGGCGCTATCCTGTACACAACATTTTTCTTGATGAGTTTTTTTCGGCCACCCAAAAATTTAACATTGAGGTACTTATTTTACTACATTCGTGGTGGCATTACTTGTTTTTACGCAAGACGCCACCGCTCTAAAACCTAAGTTCCGCTCGGAGCAAGAGAAACTGAGCAGCGATGTTCAGCGAAGTTATCGATGTCTTGAAAGCGAAGCTCTTAAAGCTCGAGGTCAAATGTCGGGTATCCGCAAGAAAAAAAAACTCACTTTGTTTTGTTTGTTTTTTGAACATCCCAGTTCACTTCACTGGCACACATCAATTGCTACTTCGTAATTCTACCTTGCAGTTCACGAGCGACATCCCGTGGCAGCTGAATGAACTATACAGCTCACGATTGCTGAAATTGTTCATTGGCCATAACTATTCTACCGCTGACCATAGTCGGGCACTTCACTGACGTAATATGCCGAGAGAAGGATGAGCGGTTTATAACAATTTGCAACAGAATCGTGAATTTCGTCTCACGCACAGCTCTGAGACGTTCGGATCACGTGTAACATATTAACAAAAGCCCCGAATGCCGATCGACAGATTTTTTCGACCAAGTTCAAAAGCTGTCTCATAACCCCTTTAGGAGAAAAAAAAAACTGATCAAGAATGGCGAGAAATTGGCAGGCGTATAGATCGTCATGATTATTGACGTATATTCTCATTAGCTTGCGTAAAGCTGAAGCTTTTACGGCGGATGCTTTCACCATGCACTTAATATGAGAAGGGTGAACTGTGATGGTCGAAAAGGGTCGAAAAATTGTCTTGGGGATCGTGTAGGTTTATCGGCATTGTCGGCAGTTGACATTTCTTTACGTTGTGAGTTTTCCATTCCTGAGGCACAATGACCTTTCTGATGGAAAAACAATAAAGCAAGTAGCTTAGCATAATTGATGATAACGGGGCACGTTTTTATTGTGCCAGCTTGTATACTCACGAATTTCGATGTTATTTTTCTTGGGATATGCTGTAATATTGGCGGGACCATCCAACTTTCTGCGATGAAAAAAAAATGACTATGAGAAGAAGCGTTGCGCTTAACGAAAATGGGTTAAACTGAGATTGCTCCTCACCTGTCTAGAAATTTTTATTTTCAAAAAAACAAGGCTGAACTTGATGTCCCCTATAACATTCGGATCGGACTAATATTCGCATTAGTCCGATCCCGTAAAAGTTACTGGTATGACTACTTGAACTCGTCTATGCAAAAAAAGGCCCTTGAAAGCATCGGAGTGCACGAAAGTGCCTACGATTACTATTTTTGCCCGCGAAGAAACGACAAAACATGCGGTAACTTGGAGCATGCTATTGGCCGCAGATTGTACTTGTGAAATGGGTTTACAGTGAAAGCTTTATATTGCTACGAAAAAAGAAAAACCGACCCGAAGCGGTGTCACGAACGGCCTCTATATGCCGCGTTATCAGTTACATCGTTCGTAGCATTGTACCCAAGCACGCCCGCCATTAGCTGAGCTGTGAATTAGCTCACGATGTCAGACGCTTGCAACAATTAACATGGCGTTGCGGCGTCAATGCGGCGATTGCAGGAGCGCGTTCGCTGGGCCAGACACGCCCATTTTCGGTGGGAGAGTCGCCAATGGCACCTTGTCTTTGGCTGTGATGTCTGTGACACCCTGTGGTTCGAGAACAAGCACTGCGATTAATACAGTGCAAAACGCATTTGACTGCTCATTACACTCTTTCATGACCGTGCTCATGCGAGGCACAATGTGCGGCATGTAAAAAAAAACACTGGCAAACCCAAGCCAAACGTGTGTCTAACTTCATAAGAAAGCACGAACCTGCACTTAATTATTTTGAAATGCTTCAGTGCAGATTCGGGTGGAACCCGCTGCTTAATAATGGGCTGCACGTTTCAGGTTTTTAACGATTTGTACGAACGGCTTGGGTGGCATTTTTATTTGTTTTTACGGAAGCTCAACAGCCGTACACGTCGCACCCAAGTACACGACATATCAGCGTATATTGCAGTGCTTTTCAAAAAACAAAAGCGTGAGGATTATCGTAGAGGTGCTCACATGGAACTATAGGTGAAATCAAAAGAGTAGGATCCCGTAACTGCTCCTGTAGACTGATTACACTGGATGTCCCCGTTCTTTGTTACCACTCCACAGGAATCGTTCCTTTGGGTGCTCTTAGTTGTAGACAGCGCGACGAATTTGTCGAACTCTTGCAGAACCTGCGCAAACGTTTAATTAAGCATCACGCTTGCATCTTGCTGCGTACTGGGAAAGCATACAACGCTGTTCTGCGGCAGCATTCGTGAACCGCCAATTCCGTTGCAAAAAAAGGAGGATAAAGTTGTGTTTATTTTGTTTAAGCTGCACTAAATTGCAATGATAGAGTGCACTGACTTAAGAAAAAGCACAGACTAAACAAAAAAGTGAGCTTGCTGCAGAATACACAATACAATCATTTTTCTTTACAGTGCTGCTGTAATTACGCATGCAATCGGGGTTTCAATCAAATGAGTAGCGTTCTTCTTCTCGAGTCAGTCACGTTTCTAGTGAGAGGAGATGTTACACGGAGAACACAGACTGAGCACGACGGCACTGATTTTATCACGTGATTCCAAGCAACGGCATGCCGGTAGCAACTTGTGGACGTTGGGAATGCACTGTGAACGAAAATTGAAAGAGCGCAAAAAAGGATTAGGTGCAGACTTACGGCCATTATTTTTTGCAGTAGACAGGACATTCAGGGAAGTGTTGTAGCAGCTATCAGTGCCTCCACGCGAAGCATTCACCCTTATACTACATGAAAGTGGAAGTAGTGAAAACAATGCGACCACGTCGTCTGGAGGTTGACATCAGCGAACAAAACACCACTGACATTCTATTTAAGAAAGAAAAAGAAGTAGCCCCAATGCTCTAACTGCATCATTTACCTGACGCAGCAACTCTATTTCACATTTCCAGCTGATGTTAGCTTCGCCGCGAGGAAAAAAATGTGTGCACGTTTTCAAAGAGCCTTATCCAATTTCTAGGCTAAGAATGTCTGAAAATTTTATTAGTATACCGTAATATTAGGATAATTCAACTCTGAATATGCGATAATTAGGTAGTCAGCCCCGCCGCGATGGCCTAGTGGCTAAGGTACTCGGCTGCTGACCCGCAGGTTGCGGGATCGAAACCCGGCTGCGGCGGCTGCATTTCCGATGGAGGCGGAAATGTTGTAGGCCCGTGTGCTCAGATTTGGGTGCACGTTAAAGAACCTCAGGTGGTCGAAATTTCCGGAGTCCTCCACTACGGCGTCTCTCATAATCATATGGTGGTTTTGGCACGTTATACCCCACATATCAATCGATCAATTAATTAGGAAGTTAGTGTGAAAGCTTTGTCTAACGTGCGGTTATGCGTTTTTCATGCTGATTGCACATTTCAACGCGAGAGGGATGTACAGAGAAATATCTGGGCTGTTGAAGAGGTGAGAATTCGTCAAACTGATAATGTCACTGAAGCCGATGTCTGCAACTGGTGTGTTTCTTTCGTCGAGGCCTGTCTTCGGCGTTCCTGACCTGCAGTTTTGCATGCGAGTTTTCACGCGATATCATGAAAAAGCGCGTTTTGCAGAAATACTGGGTTTGGCGTCGTTTTTGATGTCGGCGTTGTTGGATGTGAGCGAAAAATTATCATCCTATGTGTGACCGAAAAATCGAGAATGACGCCAATAAAATAAACGATAAAAATTCTGGTTCAGAGTGCGGACCAAACCAAGGTCGTTTGTGTCCACGTGGAAATCGAACTCGGGTCGTTTGCGTGACAAGTGGACGTTCTACCACAAGGTCATGCGTCTGCTTGCGAATACAGTGATAATAATTTCCGCTGCTTTGAAAGTAGCTTTCACGCTTTACAAACACGCACGTCCTGTATACATGCTTCACAATGCAACATAATATAATGCTATAATAATTCATGGTACAAGCGCCCATTGCCAGTGGGTGTCAGAACATGCAAATATATCATTATGGCATCGTGGTTTAAAGCCAGCCACCCACTGCGAAAGGCACCGATGCTACTGCGCCTATTCCCTTAAGGTCACGCAGAGTGAATGGCAAGTTTGAAAAAGTTTCAGGCCCTAAGTGTTTGGTGTACGCATTAGGAACAAGATATTGTTACCTCGCCCTGCGTTCGTCCATCCGTCCGTCCATACCTCCGTCCTTGCGTCCGTCCGCGCCGACGGACAGACAGAGAAGCAGACAGACGGATGGATGACCGCGTGTATGGACGAATGGATTGACAGAAAGAGAAATGCATGGACGAACGGATGGATGGATGAACAGATGGACGGACGCACAGATTGACGGAAGGACGGACTGAATGAATGCATGGACGAATGTAGGAACAGATGGACGGATGCACAGATGGGCGTACGGACGTACGCATGGACGGACGCACAGACGGACGCATAGAGAGATGGATGGGCACATGAACTCACGGATGGACGCACGAACGGGCGCATAGACGTATGCGTGGACGGAGGCATGGATGGAAGAATGGATGATTGAAAGCAAGAACGAACGGATGAACAGAAGCACTGATGGACTGATGGACGCTTCACCCCACTCATCATCATTTACTCCATAGATATGCTGTGATTTTTTCTTCAAAGTTTTAAATGCGGAGCATTTTATAGTCGCATCCACTCGCAAATCCGGCATCGACGGTGTCGTCTACACCACCACTGCGCATGCTTGCGGCTCGCGTCTCGTGGTACATGCTCACGTATCGTGCGAACTCGGTCATTTCTGCGACCTGGGACTTCACGAGCCATTGCGAGGCGCCATCTCCATTTTCTTGTGTTGAGGCCACGGACTTTTCAGCTTTGTTCGTACCTCCAAAGGACTTCCTACAATAGCAAGGCGTGGCTAAGGTCACACCAGAAATTGTGACGTTGTGATGACACCAAAATGATTATTGATCTTTGGTGTAGTGAGGACGTAAAATGAGATGCCATCACATGAAGATTTTTTGCATTACTCGTCCGAAACGGGCGGGACGGTCTCCGTTCATGGTCGAATTTTCCGCTTGCATGAGACATCCCAAGTAATGATTTAGTTTTCGCATTTTGTTCTCAATGCAATTCTTAGGCATCTCACGAAGATCTTTCACGTCTTTTGCTAATTATTGACGCACAAACTGTCAACTACCTGGCATCCATCACGCTCGTGTCCAACTGAGGCGGTAGAAAAATTCCAAAAGTACGCTGGAAGTACGTAAATACCCTGTGATTGGTGACACTGCTAACCTGCTGCGTTGGCTTTCTTTCTTCCTTCTTTCTTTTTACTGTTGTATTTTCTCTTTTTTCTCTATTTAATGAGACATTTGTGTCTCTCCTTAGGTGAAGTGATGCGCCTCTGATTGGGCGTGGCAAGAGATCATTCCTGAGGAGTTGAATCTCGCCTAATCACACGCTACGGTGCCGGGATGGAACGTGACTACGGCTATGCGTTTATATCCTGGAGGATGGAATGTGGCGATGCGAAGTAAATCGCCTCGATGAAATGACAGGTTGCATCACAAACGACTATCCAGCAATAATCGCATGTTTAGGGAGAGCGTCAATCATAGGGAAACAGTGCATGAATACTCGCGTTTAGAGGCCTCGTGTACGAGACGCCGAAAACGAGAATCCTTTAATTTACGAGGGGTTTCCCGTCCCAAAACCACGATTTGATTATGAGAGACACCATTGCGGAGGAAATTTTCACCATCCGGTGTTCTTTAACCGGGCACTGACATTGCACAGTATACGGGACTCTATCATTTCGCCTTCGTCGAACTGCGACCGCCGTGGCTGGGATCAGACCTTCGGCCTTCGGTTCAGCACCCTAGTCACTGGTCCACCGAGGAGAACATCTTTGTTCCTTTATAAGCCGAGAATATTTTCCGAAGGCTTACATCAATACGCGAATGCCGGGACCTGGCTAAGCTTTATCCGTTACTTCGGTTTCGACGTGACCTGTGCATGACATGATCGACGAAACCACAGAAATCTACTCGCTCATGACCTTCGTTGTAGACGACATCTATTGGAAGAAGCCGTCCAAGACTTATGGCTGTGTTTGGGCTGCTACATATTGTTGCACAACAAGCTATGGAAATTAAAATAGCGTTTGTAGAAGTTCATCGGTCATTAACTGCTTAATAGGACGAACAGTTTGTAACACGAGGTAAGTCAAAGATGTAAAACAACAATATATTCTAGATGGAGCTTAGGGCAAATCAATGAATATTAGTGGAGAAAAGCGTAGCTCATGGCAAGCCAAATACGTTGATTTCCAAGGTACCAGATATCAGCATTGTTAGCAACTGCCCGATACTGTTGGGTGATTGGGTAAGTGCGGGTTCACATAGAAGTGAACGAGAGTTTCTAAGCATACAAAATGCAAAACTACGCCCGAGCGTTCTCTTTGAAAGTGCGACTCAAATGTGCCATAACAATACAGTATTTGTGAATAAATGTAGGAAAGCATATATAAAAAGATTCACATTTGATCAAAAAGTATAACTGCAAGTGCATTGCTTTTTGAATAGCCAAGCACTCAAACAGGATTCACTGTGCAGGGTTACATGCTAGGAGTACTTGGTGCGTTTTGTTAGCCATTTCGCCGCATTCACTACCCAGCGACACTGTGCTTGTTATGCTGACACAAAAGCTGTCTGCGCTCGCGTCGTGCATCGAAGACACTTACTTTCAAAACGTTGTTAGAGCCGTTTGTGACACAATTGGTCTCGTCTGGGCTCTCAGGAGACTGACCGATCTCGGTTGCTTGATCTTCAGAATGTGGACTCGCTGTTGTTGACCCGATTGTGCCTGCAGTGGTCTCATCTGGACTAATAGAAGACTGAATGGTTCCAGCTGTTTTATCTTGAGATGATTGACTCATAACTGCCACCAGAAGCATGCTAAAAAGCACGCAAACAGCATTTGCTCCAAACATCCTATAAATAAGTCAGTGAGTTAGGAAGGTCACATGGGTGGAAGAGCACAAAAGTGCGTGATAGGGTCAATAACAATGCGGAACATAATGCGTTATGCAGAAACTTGGGCATCAAGCTAATCTAGTCTATTTAGTTCATAGAGAATTAACTCCATCAGTGCTAACTTAAGTCTTCCTGAATGAGCCGCACACACGATATTTGTACCAAGAAGTTACTTGTTAAAGGCTTCCTTATTCGACCAAATTTTGTCCCGCTAACGTCTACATTGAGCTGCGAAATAAACGCTAATGACGTGACTCTAGCACTCTGAAGTTTCACGGCATTACCTGGAAAAACAAATACTTTGTGCTGGTTCCTGAACTCCGACACTGGTAAAGCGCGTTACACTTTTTACTTAAGGTTCCTTTCGCATTTACGATACGCCTCGCCTCGCATACGCCCGGAAACCATGACAGTTATCAGCTTTTACAAGACGTTAGGCAACTGTGACATGAGGCCGGCGTAAGTGAGAACCTAATTTCCATTGGTTTCGGGTGACGGTGTGTCAAGAATGTATCCTAATTAAGATTTAAAACCCTGTCAAAGATAGAACAGAATAAAATTACCTTGAATATATTCTCTATAGCCTCTTAAAGGTTTATGTCACTCTACATTTCGAAAGGCTCACATAAAAAAATGCTAAGAGTGATGATTGAAATGTTTGAAATACATACGTTGGTGAACAGAGAATAGTAGACTTGAATAAACTGGCTGAATGAATTCGTTCTTCGATGGAGGACGCTTGCTCGCGTGGTGCAGTTTGAATCTGCTGCTGAAGGCATTATATATGAGTATTGCCCGTGTATGACGCACAACATAAAAAAATCTAATTGCTTGCAGCATTATCATTCTCACATAGCATAGATTAAAAAAAAGCTAGCAAAGCAGTCACTTTTTTTCTCCAGCATGATATATCTTCCCCGAATGCATTGCGACAAGCTCAGATTACGTCGAGTGCATTCTTTTTGAATTTATGACTGCGATGGTGCATCTGGCATGCTGGGAAGGGTGCTCGGCTATAATAGAACAGCTGCCGGTCTCACCGCACACTATGTAAGTGTACAACTGTGCAGTTTTTCCACGAGGAAGCTATGACGAAAGTTGCCATTAGGAAGATGTAACCGTTTCACTACCCAGTATGATTCCACGAAGCCACGCGTTGTCACAAATTCGAGTTCTGCTCTGCACATGCAATGAAATGATCTCACCATTTCGTTATAGGTTTAAGGAAGTGCCTAATGCTCGGGAAAAATTTTCTGATTATGGCACGAATCAGAACATCGTTCATCACATCAGTGGCAAGAAGCATGCTTTCGACCTATAAAGAAAAAGAAGTATTAGCTTGGCATTGAAAGCTCACATAAAATGACCGATAGCGTCACCGAAAAGCAATGATAAAATTTTGCTGATATGACGAGAAATCTTCACAAGTAAAGTTATTTTGTCTTTAAAAATATTGTAAGGAAGTGTTTTACACGCATTTATTATAGGCCTGGAAGACATGGCCATAACAGTCCCCTTCGAGGCACAGAACATACCCAAGAACCATGTCCACTAACAATGAAGGTGATGAACACTGCGTGATGATGGTTATGTGCACGTGGAGAAAAAGCGTGTTGTAAATGCCCACACTTATTCCCCGCGCATGAGAGCGGCCATCCTGGCTGCAACTTGTAGATGCAAAGAGCGCCTTGCGAAAGGCTTCATACGCGAGACATGTATCATATATCTCGGTACCGCGATAGCACCGGTCACGTATTGTAAATGCCCACAATACTTATAACTTGAAACTGTATTGAACGCACTTGAGGCAGATTTAGGTTGCGCCAGAGACAATTATTTGCTTTTATAAAGACGACAGTCTTTTTTGGGGACCTTCGACGCAAAAATTTTGGTCTGTCTGTCTATCTGTCTGTCTGTCTGTACATTGGTCTGTTTGTCCACCCTTAAGGGCACCGGAAGCTTTAGACAGTCGTCTCCAACTGCAGCGCCCAACAATGTTGCTCAAGATTTAGCGTTCATACGTGTGCGATTGTCAATTAAGAAGCACTTATTGCGCATATCTGAGGCACCATAACAAAACGTATATATTCTGCATGTGCGTCTTTTACTAGAAAAGACATACATAAGTAATCCTAAGTACCGTAGCGTTTATCACGCTGCGCTGATCATGCAACGCTAGCACGAAGAAGCGAGTGTTTCAAACGCTTTGATAAGACGACACGGTGGTGGAATCTACCCGTCGCCTTGCGTTCTACGCCTTATCACCTCTGAGACGTGCGCGCACACCTGTCTCAGAGCCACGTGCTTTGTTTTCCAAGAAAACTGCCAGATGGCGCCTATGTCTCACGTGTGACGTGTCTTGATGCGCTCGTTCGTCTCCGCCGCACGCTCGAGGCACTCTAACGCAGCGTCTCCAGAATATCACTCATTGATTCTCTTGCTCGAAACATAAAAAAAATGTCTCGTTCACTCTCTCCCCACGCAAGACTATCGAATTTCGACGGCATTTGTAGAAATGTGCAGATACAGGGCCATTTTTTTTTCTCACGCCTTCAAATTGGCGCAATGCACGTGGCCCAAATGCACTCCTCACAAAAACATTCACTGCTTAAAAAAATAAACGTAGACGCGCAGAATATTCCGAGTAATGGTCAAGGCAAGAAGTAAGCCAACTAAAGGAAAAAAAAAAAGACTTCTGTAGTCAAAGAAGGTGGGTGCTTTCTGTTGTTTTCTATAAATGTCTAAATGAGTTTTTTTTTGTACAATGTGCCTTGTATGACGAACTCGGTCATCGGAGGGCTCTCGGGCTATTCACAGTTACATTTTTTTGAAAAATACCACCTCAGTTGAAATGCTTCGCCCATTTTCTTTTAAAACGATACTTTTTCAGCGGCAGTCCAGATGGTCCAGAAACCATAAGGCAAATTTGACAGGGCATTACACAAAGACACCATGCGTGGACACATACACATGCACAATCGCAAGCGCATACAGTCACGCATGAACGCACGCGCAGACACGCGCACATACACTGTCGAACAGACACACATGCATGCATGTGGCAGATGACCACTGTATCTCCAGCTACAGTCCAAAAAATACATTCTTTATTTGTTTGTCATCTGGTACCATAACAGCTGGAGACCTGTATATAGCTATCAAACATATATTTGCTGGTTTCATCCAAATGGCAGTACTGTCAAGGCAATACTAATGTACAGCGCGTGATCTATCATCTTGCGTAGCTGCTGTCTGCAACGAACGTCTGCTCGTTAAAACCAGCTCAACATCCTGGATCTCGCTAGAGAGTTTCGTAACTTTATAAACGACAGCTTACAAGCACGTGCGACCACCGTAACTCACACAAAAGTATTGTCATGCTTATCAGTATGGGGCAATACGTCTCCATGAAAGAGATATCTTTTCTGCAGAGCGGTGGACAAAGGAAACATTACGTAACATTTGTTAGACTTTAGGAACACATGTGCTTAACAATGGTAAGTGTGGCTTTGCCTCGGCTCGGTGCTGTACAGCTCCTCGATATAGGCGTACACTCACAATGAACACATACAAAATGTTTTTTTGTCTTAAGTCCTGCGAGCCCGTGCTACGTCCTGACGGTTTCGCCTGAGTGGTTAACCAAGGTTATTGACTCTTGGAGGCTTCCTCAACCCTCTAAGTAGCCCAATGTTGATATTCAAGGGCAGATCTGTGCAACATATCTATACCTGCGTGCGTGAAAGTTACCACTAGACGTGTAGCCGATGATTTTCCCTTGGTTGTTCCTGCATAGGCTTGCACATGATTCGCAAATAGGAGGGGTGGTTTATATCTCCCTTCTCCCATTTTCTTCTATTGCTCAATGTGTTTTGTGGGAAAGAAATCAAGAGTATCAACAGGTGCATGATTGAAAATGCAGCAGTGGGGTACTTCTCACGGTGGGTTCCGCTCGGTCCGCGAGTTTCCGGTTGACAAATATGAGAAGCAGGCAGCTCTAACCCAATAATAAAAGTTGCTACTTGAATAGAAATTGACCTGTCGCCCCCTTCAGTGCAGCACAAACGCTTTCTAAACGCGCTGCCTTGACGAAGTAGCGTCAAGGAGCGTTTCTTAATGCATAAGCTAGAACGCAACATCAGCTGTCCATGGTGGCCGTTTTCTCTAGAAACCTATATTACTACAACCGTACACCTTTAGCGGTACAAGTCCAATTGAGTAAGAGCATGGTTCAGTCTGGAACTAACGTCAGCTGGTCAAAAGAGGCAGCCGCACTGCGACCCCCCTCCCCCCCTGCGCCTAAATTTCTTTGCACACGCTATGCGTGTCTTGAAAGAGGACAATGGTTTCCTACAAGTAGCGAGGCACTGGAAGTTGGGAAGAAATAGGTGTACTGTTCTTTCACACGTCGTCGTGTAAAGGAGCAATGCTGCAAGTTGAGTTTCCCTTGGAAGGTGCACTTAAGATCTTCGTAAAGATCTCTCCCACAAGCGCGACTGGTTCAGATGGCATACCAGCAGCAACGCTTAGTAGCTGTGATAATAGGCCTGTATATTTGCCATCTTCCCCGACATTGCTCAGATGTGGCAGAGAAAAGAAGATACACACACAAGGCCCCGGAAGTGAAATTTTTTTTACAGCATTCATCAATCAAAAAACGGGCATGGACAGCAGAATACATCATACTGCCATGAGATGTTTCGCGTGGAAGAGCTTTAAAAGTTCACTAATTTCGGTTCAAAGGAGACAGTTCTCGCTATTCATTGTCTTATAGCGCCACGAGCGTGTTGAAAGCTCTCCCGTCAGACGTTTTAGTAGAAATGCGATGTAATGACGACTTATACCACGTTTTGTTTATTGAAATAAATTATTGGTGATTAGGGATGCATATGCCCCTGCTGTAGTGCCTGCTAATGACGGTGCAGGTACATAATAAATAAATAGATTGTATTCTATTTATGATATAGTGAGACGACTTATCTGATTGGCACCCAACCACAGCGTACGACTACCAACAGGACAACGGGGAGGGGGGTTGCCTGCAGTTAAAGCTTGCCCCTTCCCCCCCCACTCACGCTACGTACTCTAACTGAAATTACATTAGGTTCAACCAATGCGGTTTAACAAAGTGATGAAGAGGAAAAAATGCCCAGGAGTGAAACCATGCCCATCAAAAGGCCGCAGCTACGCCAACTTTTGGCCTTTAGGGGCATGATAAAATGTCGGCGTTATGCGAAGGAAACACCGAGCTTTGCTCGCGTTCCCGACGAGTTTAATGTGGGTACTTTTTCGTATCAGATAACGCACGAAAAGTGTCTTTGATTTTAGAGTTATCCTTAGGACGTCTTAGTTTTTTGGTAATTTTTTTAGAGATTAGGTCACCAAAACTCCTGGATGTGTTACTAAGTCGGAAGTAACTATCTTGTATTATTAACGAAACATTTACACTGACTGGGCACAAATACGTTATGTCTAGCACCTGAAAAGATCATGTTTCCTAGATCTTCCAAAGCAAAAAAGGGCTTCAGTTTTCTTGGCAAGGCATTGCGGGGGGCCTCCACTAAAGCAACGTTTTAGAAATGAAGCTCCTTAGGGAACGGATGTCCCCCATCGGTCATTGCTGTAGTTTGATCAGAGTTCGCTAGGAGCGTTGTGGCATATTCGGCACTAAGAGTACTGTATATGCTACCTTAAGGTAGCATATAGGGACTGTACTCGGCACAGACTCTTTCTCGATTGGAGCCTGCTAGGGTTGTGCGGTTTACTGCCCA